GGCCTGAATGATGAGAGGTAAGGGCTTCGAAGCTACATTCTGAAGCATACTTTACAATTCAACCCTAAGGAATACTGCGACTAAGCATTTCGACCCCTCTGACACCGGAAGCCGCCTGCAGCAATTCGGCGGGCAAGCTCCTGGGCAGCAGATGGCTTGTTGGTCTCATGGCATTGAGGGTGTAGAGGCTTTGCTTATACAGGGTTCAGCGTTGAGAACTTGGGGCATATAGGGTGCAGGATCAAGATGTGCAGGAGAGAGAGAGAGAGAGAGAGAGAGAGAGAGAGAGAGAGAGAGAGAGAGAGAGAGAGAGAGAGAGAGGGAGAGAGAGAGAGAGAGAGCGTATGTCTTGGCTCCAGGACTTGGGGTTTGGGTATAGAGGGCTAAGCTTTGGTTCAGAGGTGTTTTCTCAACCTGTTACCTGTTGCCTTCGGAGCTGTGGGGATAAGCGCCAGGCTGGACGATTCGGGGTTCCAGGCTTACAGTCGAGCTGCGCAGATTCAATCCTTAGAAACGAAAGCCTACGTAATCCAAAAGTCGAAATCCTGACTCCCAAACCCTGAAAGCCCTTAGACCGTGCTCTTCAAGCAGCTCGGATCTGGGTTCAGGCTTTAGGGTTTAGGGTTTAGGGTTTACGGTTTAGGGTTTAGGGTTTAGGGTTTAGGGTTTAGGGTTTAGGCTTTAGGCTTTAGGGTTTAGGGTTTAGGGTTTAGGGTTTAGGTTCAGGCTTTAGGTTTAGGGTTTCAGGCGCTCGGGCTTTGGACTCGCGGTTTGGGCTTTTGGGCGTCTTGCCGAATAAACCTCTGCAGTTCCGAAGACCTGAAACTGAGAGTCCTGCACCCAACTTCTTGGAACTGGAACCACCATCAGGGACTTGACTATACGTAGACTGAGGCTTTGGGGTTTGCTGCTAGGAGTCTTGTCGCCACTTCGTCAAACCTCGATAGTAAGTCGCCTGTCAGGATACATTCAAATTACTACTGTATTGAAGGATGTCTGCAAAAGGCTCACCGTAAATCGAGCTCATAGGAATGGCTTGCAGGATCCCTTCCAGGAACCCTGATAGGGACTCTTATAGAACCCTTGCAGGAACACTCTTGTCGGAACCCTGATAGGAACCCGTATATAACCTTCAAGGAGCAGACCTCCAGTGGGTCGTAGATGGCCATGGATGACCTTCGGTGCTGTGGCGTCCTCCCAGACTCACCAAGAAAGGGGTTCAGGGTTTTGGGTTTAGGGCTTCGCGTACCCAAGCCCTAAACCCCCGTACTCGACAAAGAAGTTACCGCAGGGACGTCTATAGTCCCCCAGGCTACGAAAGCATCGTCAGATGGGTCACCGGGAAGATCTAAGCATTCTTGAGCATGTATGCCTTTACCCTTTACACCCCAACCCTAAACCCCAGACCCTCAAATCTGTCTTTGATCCAAGCCCGAAAACCTCTTTAGAACGGCCCTGTCTGCCTCAATGGGCTCAGCCAGGCCTTCAGCAGCAATTGCTGTTGGACTGGCTTGGGGCTTTGAGCCCAATACCCCCTAACTAATAACAACACTAGAAATAATAATAGTAGCAATACTAATACAGTAATAATAACAATACTACCGTACTAATACTACGCTCACTTATAAGACGCTTAACCTTCTGCTTTGATGTCTACTCCGTAAAGCAAGGGGTGTTTGGCTCGTAAGGCGCCAAAGAAATGAAGATGGAGGCCTTGGCGCTTTCGCAGGGCCCCGAATGATTGGAACGGGGCGCCATGGCGGATGTACTTGGATAAAAGGGGATGTGTGGGGATGTATATATGGGGGTATAGGGTGAGGTATAATATTGGAGACAGGGGTTTATAAGAAGATATGAAGGGATACTGCTACGAGTACTATGTATTCAGACCTCTTACTGTACTACATTCTACCAAATCTTTCACTTTTGGCGGCATAGGAAGAGCATTACGAGGTACTGTACACTGGTAGAGTTGGAGAAACTCGTCTTCGAAGCGAATTGGAACTCGCGCCCCCAAACCCAAAAAGACATCGAACAAACACCGCACACGACCGGTGACCACGTACATCAGAGGCACCCTATCCGGACATACTACCGGACACCCGAAACACCAAACCTATCCCTCCTAAGCCTAGCTTCATGTAGGCCCTCAAAACCGGAAGCCACCTATATAACCCCAAAGCTCCAGACCGGGGCATAACTCCAACATCGCATCATCCCTCAGCCAGCCTGTGAAGCCCAAGCGCAAGTAGTGCAAGCGCAGAAACAAGTTAAGCCCCCTAACCCCTAAAAAAACCCAAACCCACAAAATCCACCCCACTTGTGGAAACCCGATGAAGGCCCTGTTGCAATTAACAATGTACACGAAACAGAAACCCCAAACCCTAAACCCTTGTTGCAACCCCTATACGTACGCTTACAGACCCTCAATGCCTTGGTAATTGTGAAACCCTGAGCCCTAAACCCTTGTCACAACCCTATAGGTATCCTTATAGACCCCTCAAAGCCTTGCTAATTTTGAAAGCCTACATCCCTATAGGTACCCTTGTAGACCCCTCAAAGCCTTGGTAATCACGAAAGCCTACAACCCTTTATCCTCAAAGCCTTGGTAAACCTACCTTTTTCAGGACTTATATACAGAAGCCATATTAGGGAACCCTAAAAAGGCAGGTTCCTTAAGGTCCAGGTATATAGAGCTTCCCCAAAGTTCGGAAGCCACCGAAAAAGAAGCGCCTAAACCCCTTCCAGGGCCCGAGCAGCTCGGCGTGCCGTGGGAGGCGGAGTTGCCGTCAAACTGGCCTCTGGGCTTTGGGGGCTTTAGGGTTCCTTTAGAGGGATCTTTTTAAGGCTCCTGGAAGGGATCCTTTAAGGGTTTGGGGGTTAGACTTTAAGGTCTATAGGGTTTAGGCTTAGGGGTTTAGGGGTTTAATTAGTGGTGTAGGGATTTAGGGTTTAGGGTTTGGGGGTTTGGAGTTTACGAAACCTCACACAGACGTTTGAGGCCTCAGGGACGGCATCCGGGTTCATGAGCTCCAGGCGGATGTCGGCCACCTGCGTGGCTTAGGATTTTGGATTTAGGGGAACGAAGGGCTTGGGCCTAGGGCGTTTTGTTGAGGGCTCTTGTAGGGTTTGGGTCTTGGGATTGTGGGGTTAGGGCTTTATGAGTTTGGTTGTGTTTGGGAGGTTTGCAGGCTAAAAGCCCCAATTCTCCAAGAGGCCGATCAAGAGCTCATAGTACATAGAACACCGGATAGCAGGATCCTGAATAGCAAGATGCCTCCCAAAGAGGGACCCTTGAAAGTTACATTTGGCAAAGTCATCATACAAGTACTTCATGCTACTGATTCACTGGTGCATCACCATCTCCGAATGCTAGGCTAACGTCCCCTACACATCGCACACTGTAAGCCCTAAAATTCAGGTAGAGCCAAGATAAAAAGACTACCATAAACCCTCAACTCCTCCAACTCTGCACAAACTGCGTATGTAAACCTACCCTGGCCGTTGTGCCTCCGAATTTGCCAGGGCTCAAGAAGACCCTCGGCTTCCTCCAAAGAGGCTTCCCATGTAGAGCTGAAGCCGGAGCTGTACACGCCCAAGGTCCTAAACATAGACCCGAATATCTGGAAAAAGTTTAGCCCGAAGAATCGCCGAGTCCTAAACTCTGAATCGATCTGCGATGTCAGTCACGTCCTGGGTTCCAATGACCGAAACGCCTACCAGGAAAAGCACTGCTAGCGTCCGTTCAAGACCATTGTTGTGGCACGACGACGACTAAAATGTTTCAGGGCTTCTGCCATCATAAAACATATAAATTGAACCATAAACCCCAGACTCCACACCATAAACGGTCAATCCCAAACCCTACCTTAACCCCGCATATCCAACCTTCTTATAAGGACTTCTATCAGGAAACCATAAATAAGTAGACCCAGAAAATGGGATCCAGGTAAAGACTCCCCAGGTCTCTGCCCTCCGCGGCCTGTGCCCAGCAGGCCAAAGGCCCGGGGAACTGATCCGGCAGAAGGTCGCCCCTTGGATCCAGGCCTGGTCTTGCATTCACAAGAGTTTGATTAGGGTTTAGGGTTCCTTTAAGGGTTTAGGGTTTAGGGTTTAGGCTAGTTATTATAGGGGTTCCTTGAAGGGTTTAGGGTTTAGGCTAGGTATTATAAGGGCTCCTTTAACTGTTTAGGGATTAGGCTAGTTATGAAAAGGCTTCCTGTAAGGGTTTAGGGTTTAGGCTAGTTATTACAAGGGCTCCTTTAAGGGTTTAGGGTTTAGGCTAGTTATTATAAGGGCTCCTTTAAGGGTTTAGGGTTTAGGCTAGTTATTATAAGGGCTCCTTAAAGGGTTTAGGGTTTAGGCTAGTTATGAAAAGGGTTCCTGTAAGGGTTTAGGGTTTAGGCTAGTTTTTATAAGGGTTCCTTTAAGGGTTTAGGGTTTAGGCTAGTTATGGAAAGGGTTCCTGTAAGGGTTTAGGGTTTAGGCTAGCTATTATAAGGGTTCCTTCAAGGGTTTAGGGTTTAGGCTAGTCATTATAAGGGCTCCTTTAAGGGTTTAGGGTTTAGGCTAGTTATGAATATTGTTAACAGCGGAAAGCACGGACTGTTTTCACACTTGAGCCAAACGGTAGCGTAGGTAAGACAGTAAGACAAACGTATGAACAGGATAAAAACACCCCCCGCGCATTGAAGCGCAGCGGAGGAGGCGTATCACTAATCTACGCTACGCACAGGCAGCACTCGCTTTGCGAGGCTTCCAAAAGAATCTGAGATGCTAGCTCAAATCACTCCACTGAGCAGGTCAGCAAACCAACCCGTCAGGGCGGTGATGCATGGGCATGCCGATGCAAAAGGCTTTGGATGGATGAACCGGCACGTCAATGCGGTGAGCTGCAGAAAAACGGATCAAAATGCAAGTCGCTGTTGCGTGCGACTCGTGCATCTCCTGACACGGTGCCCTCAAGACGCGGAGCACCTTCCGGTGTCGGATGCAATAGGCTAGTATGCCCTGTACCATGCTCCATTGGAGTCCTGGCGATACTCCTCCCATCCGCGCAGGAACCAGGCGATTAGCTCAACAGGATGTTGAACCAGAACCTCCCGGTCGGTGTAAGCGGGAATGACAAAAGGCACATCAGTGGGCGATAGCTCCTCAAGGTAACGGGCACGGAGGACTCCCCAATACCAAGCATCTGTGCGAGTGCAATTGCGAGGCATTGGTCGGGATGGATCGAATCCGTTCCCGTCTTGATCAATCCATTCCCTTAGGCGATCAGCTGGGAAGCCTGGGAGAGTGACCGTCAGGTTCTCGAGTTGCTGCTCAATCGCCTCATCACACAGGCGCAGGTGACGCAACCTGTCGTTCGCGGCCTCTTGAAAGTCTCGACCACCACCATAGTCATGGCGGCGCGGTGAGCGAGTGCGAGCACGCCCTCCGGCGGCTGAGGCAGATGGTTCATCAGTGGATGACCCCGCAGGGGCGGCAATTGGTGCAGGTGCATCACCTACAGCAAAACCTCTAACCTCGCCACGACCGGCAAAATAGCTGTCCCACTCATCAGCAGTGATGTATTCCTCAGGCGCACGAACGGCGTCAGCCTTCGGAACAGCTTTTGCAGCTGGTGGGTGCGGCGGCTGCACTGGCCTGTTAGCACTGGGCTTAGGAGGAGGCGGCGTGATGCTTCTGGCAGATGCCGGCCTTGCCTTCGTCTTTGCAGCTTTTGGAACAGAAGTGCTCGCTGGACGATCCGTAGATGATGAAGCTGCACCGCCAGGTGAGCGACCTCGGCTCGGAGGAGCCGGTGGGGGCCGAACACTGGGTGTTGCTGCGGGCAGCGACGAGTCAGGACCAGTCCTTCCGGATGGTGACGGCGGTGGAGGTGGCACACGCATGGCGCCAATGGGTGTGGCACCATGTCGGACCATTCGGTCTTCCACCTCGCGATTGATCCAGCCGCGGGGTACGCTCAACACTGAACCGCGTACCGCCAAGTAGCTCGAGCATCTGTGACCTGCCCATTGTCCCCAGGGATGCTGGGATTTGCAACGGAGTCTGTCCGATTCCGACCTGCACAGTCACCCTTTGCTGATTGCGCTCTTTCTGGGTGAGAGCATACTGTGCGTTGTTGCGGAGCATGCCGACTAGGTCGGCCATGATCTCAGGAACAGTACCGGTCACGGTCTGGTACTCGACGCCGTCATGGCGGAGGATGCTGAAAGGACGCACACGGCGTACCTCAGAGGCAATCTGAGTGGCTCGGATCAACACTGCGATCTCGGGGACCAGGTAAAAACGATCCTGGAAACAAAAGTAGCAGTGGCTGGCCAGCTCAAGAAAAATGTTCCTCTGATAGTTGTACTCCCCGCGAATCACATCATCGACAGGAGGAAAAATGAGGGCAGTGCGTGCATCGGATGTGTGAGATCCTGCAAAGCCTCTCTTAGCCTCCGTCCCCATTCCTGGGGCGGGAAGTCGCAAGCGCGCGAACATCTCGATCTCGTCGAGTGAAGTAACCGTCATCCCCTTGGAAAACACATTGAATGCGCTGAAGGGTTCGTACTTCAAGTTCTGGCGCAAGGAGCCATGCGTTCCCTCTGCCGCTTTCGCCACCATTTTCTTGCACTTTTCTTTAAGTGTCGCGGCGATGCTCTTCTTCACATCGGCACCCTGACGTGTGTGCTCGTGTGGGCGCGTGTTGATGGCGGCCTTCGGTGCCAAATAGTGGAGGCTGTGGTTAGCTCCACCTTGCACGGCTTCCGCCCGCAGATCAGCCAGCTCCGCAATGTGGGAGATGTCGCTCGGGTTGAACAACTTCCGCTGGCAGCGGGGGCAATGAAGATAGCCGTCAAGCATCTGAGACCTGCACCTATCATCAGGGCAACGCAGCTTTGGGAAGCTGACGTTGAGGCACACTGAGTAGTGCTTGCGCTCCACACGCGACGGGCGCTCGGTGGTCAGCCCGATTGGCGAAAAGTAGACCTGGGCATCCAAGGTCCATTCGCACGGAGTTCCCTCCAGCGGACTACCCTGCTCAAAGCAGATGGTACGACCATCAACATGAAACTGCTCAACCTCACGCAAGTGCGAGGGCTTCTCCATGTCCATGAACATACCCAAGAACTCAACCCAGTCCAAATTTTCATTGTGGATCGGGTAACAGAGATCAACGTAATCCATGATGCAATTAGCGTCAGCTTCCGCTGCGCGTTCGATGAGGTCTTGGTTGAAGACCGGCAGGATTTCCTGACGCTTGACATATGCATCGCGGGCTTTGGACACCCGAGCTCGCGTGAGCTCGTACGAGCGATTAAACCATACAGGTTTCCCGGTTCTGCGATCGTAAGCAAACATAAGGTAGCGATTGGACAACCAATCTGGGGTCTGCAGAACATTGTTCTTTGTCAGGAGAATGCGACACCCTTCCATGCACGCGAGCTGGAGGTCGATAGCGAATTCAACCTCAGCGCCAGGTCGCAGGCCGGCGTTGTTTGGCCTTTCCCACTGAGGGAGGCAAGCCATCATGGTGAAGGCTCTCCCCGTGCTTCCGCCGAGGGTGACACCGCCTGGGATGAGACCGGTGCTAACAATATTGGAAAAATTGCTCCAATACGTTGCATGGTACCCGATCGGATGCATTCTGACCCAGTCGTTGTGGATGTGGCCAGTGACTCCCACAGGAGGACGCGTGTGCATGGTGGGACGGTAGTCGTCGCACAAAGCATAGCTGTCACTGTGCATATCCACAAGATCAGTCTCGTCAGAGATGAGATCGCGGCAGTGCCCCTGGAATGCACGGATTCCATGAATCTCAGTGTGGTCGATGAAGTGGAGGACGCGCAACTCAAAGCGTCCACTGTCATCTTTGTCGCGGTTACCGTACTTCACGACTTCCATGACGTCTTCCGACCGGAGACCGCGCCACTGCTTGCCCAATTGCTCTTTGAAGTGGTCCCATTCGACCTCCCGCGTTGCGGGGTCGAAGGTCATCATGGGCGGTGGCCGCCGTTGTGCCTGTGACTCTGCACTATTCGCGAAACCACGAAGGAAAAAGCTCATGGCATTGCTCAATGCTCGCCGCTTGCCATCCGTCATGTAGCGATGGCTCGGGGCAAAATCGGGGATGTCCTCATAGCCCCACCATTCGAAGAACGGCTCGAAATCACCAGCAGCGTCTTCCGACGGCTGAGCAGTGTCGTCAGGATCCAGGTCCATCACGACATCCTCTTCATCGTCGGTCTCGGCTGGCTCCGAGATTCTCCTGTGCTTGGCAGGATCGGGTTTCGACTTGGGCGTCGATCCGATTCGGCGAAGTGCCTGCGAGTACCCGACTGTGCCTTTGGGAAGACTGCGGTCATCTTCCGATGCCGGAACCTCTGGGGTTTCGTCCCACACCGTGGGGATGCCGTCATTGACTTCCCTCTCAATGGCATCGTCATCTGGGATAAGCACATTGGTGGTATTGATGACATCTCGTGCAACCATAAAGGCAAAGTCCTCTTGCGCCTCAGGGTCGACGGCGACAAGGTCGAGAGGCAGCTCTGACCCGACATCACGGCTAAACAGTACATGTTCAACCTGTGTCACCTCTTCAGAGCCTTCCGGCTTGAGCTCAAGATCATCCACCGGCTCAGGCATCATCATCAGAAGAGGGTGGTCGAGAACGATCTGCTCATCCTCTTCCCTGGCTTCCGCCGGGAGCTCGGGTGCATGGTCCAACGGCTCGAGGATGCGCTGACTTGCAGGCGGCACCGTGAGCGTTTTCTCGGCCTTCCCAAGCTCGAAGTGATTGCGAAACACAATACTTCTCTGATTGGCAACGAACTCAGCCTTCCGGCGAGTGATGATTCGGTCGGTGGAGATGGCTCTGATGAGCGCATGCCACCACTGCAACGAAGCAGTCACATTCGGGTCTGTGACCTCGATGTGGAACCCGTCGGGACGCGTGGTCCTCATCAGGAGGCTTGATGGATCAACGACGCACACGCCTTCACTCTGCATCTGCCGGGCGTACTTGCCCATTTCTTCATCATACTCGTAGGGCAGGTTGTAAAAGCGGCCGTTGTCATCTCCCAAGAGAACCGTCAGGCCTCTGATACGAGTGTGCTTCCGCAGCTCGATAAGGCGGCGGACGCTCTTCTCGACCATCAGCCGCTGCTTTGCGGGCCAATGCTCGATCTCGTCCAGCTCGCGCTGCGGCCTTTTGACCCACTGGCTCGTCAAGTGCCAAGTGTAGCCAAGGTAACCGTAGTTACCGTACACATCGTTGCCGGCCCATGAAACCACAAGCTCTACCCCTTCCGGGGGAGCGGAGGCAAGGTGGGTCTCGATCACGTCGACGATCTTGTCGAGACCTTTGCCCCACTCCATCAAGCATGTGACTTCCCCGAACTCTGGGTTCGCGCGGACTATGTCCTGCATCATCGGGAAGATAGTGGTTTTCTTCACACACCGTTTTCCTTGCATCCAGCACAATGCCAAGGACGAGTCCCCGGCCACAAGAATGTCGGTGCCGTCGAAACCACCGGCTTCCGCCGTGGGGGGCGCGGAAATCCTGCCCAAGGCTGGGCTGTAGAGCCCGTCCAAGAGAGCTGAGCTCGCAGGAAACAGTGGGAAGGTACCGCTACCCTCTGACAGAATGTGGACCCTATGGCAAATGTCATACATTGCCGTCTTATTGATGGCATTCTCGAAGTTAACACCCCACCCGAGGATACCCAAAGCCTTAATGTGCTGAAGGATGAGGGCTGACCATCCCGTCAGGGAGGTGTTGCGTTGGTCCTGCATGTACAGGTTGCCCTGGCGGCAAGCATAGTGACGGAACCAGGCCTCGTACAATGCGGTCCAAGGTGCATTAGGCGCATGCACACGCATGTCGCGCCATTCCTTCACCGTCATAATCCCAAGGAACATCTCATCACCGTCGGCGTCAGCCCCGGGTTCATCAAACACCTCAGCAAGGTCGGTGTGCCGAGCAAGGTGGGTGACTCCGGCCATGGCGTCAGCCAGGCGATCGGCACTCTTGAGTGCGGCACGATACGCCTGAATGCGTTCCTCACGATCTGCCGTTGCATATATTGCAACCCCTCATCAGTCGGAATACCCTCCCGGGCTGCGATTCCCTGTGCAAGAGCGTCACGAGTGCTCTGGGCAGAGGACATGTTCGCAATGGGAAGAAGCGAAAGAGAGGACGTTGGGGATGCTTGAATCTTGAGCGCAACAGCTACAACGTGAGTCTGATTTCTCTCTGATTTCTTCGGTTCATGATCATTAAAAACACGACTGAGAATCGTAGTAAGGGTGCCTTTGAAGTAGTGTTGGGACTCTGATTTCTTGGCACTATCCTTCAATCCTCGTCTCAAGAATTCAACAAGACTCTTCGTGTTGGAGGCTAGCGTGTAGTGGGCAATGACTTCAGGCTTAAAGTCAGCAGCTGCAATCATCGGCTTAAGGTGAGTTTTGCTAAAACCATAGCCATCAAGTACCCTCTTGACACGCTGCCATCCCCAGAACACGCTGTCCCTGGGCCACGTAATGATGAACCTCGCTTTGTACTTCTTGAGAGCATCGGCGATGTCAACAAACGAAGCCCAAGTCTTGGAGAACATGATGCTATTGAGCTCGTCCTGATCCTTGTCTGTACCCCCCGGATTCCGCTGATGGAACCAAAGAAGTACAGAGGCGCCAGCCTTGTGGTAATCCCTGGCTAACTGGATGATTGCCTTCCTAGTCTCAGGAGGATCAAGCTCACTAGAATTTCTAATCTTAATCACCTTTGTATCGGGGCTATACCTTATATCAACGTCACAAGCAGAATGGGTCCCCTGCGAACAATCCACAACGAACACAATCCTTTTGTATGCGGCTTCGGGCCTCGGCGTCTGCCGGGCGATCGGATCGCTGGTGGCCGCTGCCGATTTCCTTGCAGGCAGCTTGTGCGGTGCCACACACATCAACTGTAGTGCTCTATTCCACTTCTCAGCACTAGTGAATGGTTTTGTAAGGACATCCGCAGCTTGGAGCAAGGTGTTGATATAAGCAAGTTCGTAATGCTTTCGTTTGAACTGCTCTGAGATCCAGCCTAGATTGAGGCGTTGGGTTGTAACTGTACATAGTCTGCGGGCTGGCTGTTGTGCTGTATGCTTTTATGCATGCTCTTCTGTAATTCGTATTCATAACATTTTTGGCTCAAGTGAGCACGGCAGTGTGTCGTTGGTAGCTTCTCGTTGCCGCGACGCAATTGCGCGCAGCCCGTCCTGGGCGGACGTTCGACCTGTCACGGTCGTTGGACTTTCTGCTTGGACGGAAAACGAGGGTGCGTGCTGCCCCTTTGGGTTTCCGTTCTCCACAATTGGGGGCTGTTCTGGGAAACGGCCACCCAGGCGGCTGCTGCGCCGCAATCTTTTAACGTGGCCTCGAAGGCGCGCTTGTCGTGCGCCTTGAGGCCGTGGTCCTGTGTGGCACGGGGCTCTCTCCTTCGCTAGGCGACCATGAGCGCTGAGGTCGCAGGTCAGCCGGAAGGAGCCACGTTGCTGAGGTGCATCGAGGATGGGTCAGTGGAGTACCCGGAGAAGATGCCCTTTATGTACTGGCTCCGTTGGCGTAAGGAAACGGGGTCCCGTCCCACCAAGAAGAAGGACGGACGATCCACGACGCTAGCAGATGAACAGCGTCTGTGGAAGGAGACGATGGAATTCCTCTACGACAACTTCGATGCCGAAGAGGAAGAGGAAGAAGATGAAGAGGAAGATGAGGAAGCTCCAGCTGCGGAAGCGGGCCCGGGTGCTCAGGATGGCGATCCGGGCCCCAGCTCTGAAGAGCTTCTGCCGGAGGCCGGGGTACCGGCTCCGCGTCCTGCCGCTGCGCCGGCGGACGTGGCCGAGACGGCGCGCCGTGTTGGTGCGCTTGCTCTCTCGCCGGTGGCCGGCGGCCCGGCCCGTTCCGGGCCTCCCTCGTCTGCTGGGACGGGTGGTCCCGTCACGGCGGAGACCCTGCAGGCGGACCTGCGGGAGCTCTACCGTCCCGACCAGGAACCGGTCGCGGATTACCTGACGCGGGTTTCAAGGCTGGTTGTGGCCTTGAAGGCGCACCAGGCAGAGGTCACGGTGGAGGATCTTGAGAAGATCACTACCAAGGCCACCATCCTTGCCGAGGAATACGGCAAAATGGGAGGTGACTGGCACCCTGCCAGGATGGTGCGGGCCCTGCGCACCAGGTTTACCGTTGCCGCGGTTTCTCTTGGGTCGGAAGACCGAGAGGAGGTCGAGAAGGAGATCTCGTGCCTCGGCGAGCTGATCTTGGCCCTGGGAGGCAAGAGCAGCGGCGATCCCGAGAAGGTTTGGAGCACTCCTTCTTCTGTCCCGGCCCTGGCGGCCCGGACGGGCGCCGTTGCGGAGTCGGGCTCTAAGTCCGGAGCACCGGCGCCTCTCCCGGTGGACCTTCAGCTCGCGATCCCTGAGGATCCGCAACCTGGTCCGGGGGACTCACCCCTGAAGTCCCGCCTTGCGGCTCTGGAGATAGAGCTCGAAGGGCTTAAGAAGGATAAGCCCGGCGAGCCTCACTCCGCCAGCGGCGGAGCCGGAGAGCTCGCTGCAGCTTTGGCGGCCCAGACCGAGGCGCTCAAGGAGGCCTTGGCGTCTCGCGGAGGTCAGACGTCGATCACGACCGTGAAGACGGACCTCCAATGGCCCTCGCTCACCGACGATCGCTCCGACATCCGGGACGTGGTCCAGTTCTACGAAGAGTTCGAGGACGTCTGTGGCCTTGCCAACAACTGCAAGGGGATGAATTTCCGGGAGAAACTCATCGCCCTTCGTGCTCGCTGCCGCGGCTCGAGGCTTAAGACCTTTACTAACGTGTACAAGGCTGCCTCCAAGACCGGGGAAGTTACTGAGAATCCCCAAGCCGTTTACGAAAGGATCAAGCAGCGGCACCTTGTCTTCGGCGAGAGCCGAGAAGAGAAGGAGATGAGGGTGGACGCGGAGCACGTCGCCCTCACTAAGGGCCGTCTCACAGGGCACCAGTTCGAGCCCCTGTTTGAGGCCTCCATCGCGGAGCTGGAGAGTGTGGGTCTTGGCAAGACAGCGAGGGAGCTCTTCCTAAGCTACTTGCGCAAGATGCCTCCACATCTCCAGAAGGAGATCCGCGGTGATAAGCGGTTGTGGCCTAGCGACGGCGCATCCGCAGGGCTTCGAGGCCCTTCGACCTGGGAAGAAGCGCATAAGGTCGTCCTCGAATATGAGCAGCGTGAGGCTGCGCATCGGGTGACGGCTAATAGCGTGTACGCAGGTTCGACGGAAGACCCAGCCCTGTCCGCCGCGCGGAAGGAGGTCGAGAAGCTGAGGACGGAGCTCAAGGCTTCTAAGGCCGCGGCCAAGGCGGCCGCCTCTTCCACGCTTGCCGCTGGTCCGAAAGGAAATGGAAAAGGTAAGCCTATCTGTTTCCATTTCCGCGACCACGGGAACTGCCCAAAAGGGGACGCGTGCCCTTACTCGCACGACAAGGAGCTCCGCAAAAAGGCCCTCGCGGCCAAGAAGGAGCGGGACGCGTCCACCCTGGCGACAACGCCGGGGAAGGGCAAGGGCAAGGGCAAGGGTGGACCCGGAGGGCAGCCCAAAGGCAAGGCCAAGGCCAAGCCCAAGGCGAAGTCCAAGGCGGGCGCGAAGCCGCCAGGGACTATCTGCCCTTTCTTCAAGAAGAACGGGTCGTGCCGTAAGGGAGCGGACTGTGACATGGTCCATTCGCTTCCCGCCACTGGGGGAGCCGCGTTGCCTTCGAACTGGGCGGCCCCGAGTGGCGCCGGGATGGTGAATCCCTTCGCTACGCTCTCCATCCAGATTGGGAGCGCTGGCACGGTTGTTGCGGCGAACTCCTCCGCTTTCCCGCTTGCCAAGAGCTCGTCGTCGAAGTTCAGCTCGTTGGACGAGCTGCCTCAGGACTGGTGGCACCTCTGCGAGAACGAGGTCGGGGGGTACCAGTACAGAACAGTCGTGCAGGTCATCGACGGCATGGTGGAATGCATGCTGGACGGGTGTGCAGGCTCGAACCACATCACGGAGGAACTCCTCTGTGGGATCCTCAACCGGGCTGCTGCCTTGGGGATCGGCACGGAGGACCGGAGGTTTCCTGTCGTGAAGTTCGAACGCTGG